ATTTATAAATTATCCTAGCAGATGAAATATACTATAAATCATTTTTTATATATAGATAAATTTTATCAATATAAATGGATATCTTTTTTGTATTTTTATATATGGACATTTAATTTAAAACACGTCTCTCTCTGATAAAGATATTGAAATTTTAGGAATTATTATTTCTGTATTATCAACATTTCTGACAAATTTATTATGACTCAATTTGATTTTTTGATTTATAATTTTATTTGTATTTGTATTTGTATTTGTATTTGTATTTATCTTATTTTATTTATGCTTGCAGATTACGAACCGTGTAATTAATTACTGATAAGTTAATAGTATCATTGTGTAAGCATGGCGACACATGTATTTCGTGGTATTCAAAGGCTCAGCCGAATAGTGGATGTTGGAAGGACACTGAACTCGACATTAAGACGTGCGTCGACCTCATCGCAAACCAGAATTGTGCCAGGGCCAAATGGCGAGAAGATTATTATGCCTTCTGCTGGAGATGTTTCTTATCCAGAAACTCTGATTCATGAGTTCGTTTGGAACGACAGTGAGAATTATGCTAATCATGTTGCTTTGGTAAATTTATTGATTTATATATAAATTTTATATATATAAAACGTTTATATAGGATATTTCTAACTCATCATTTTTTCAAAGAGTCTGATAAATAAATTTAAAAAATAAAGAAATTTAAAAAAATTTTTATTTAGGAATCATAGAAAAATAAAAAAAAGAAACAGAAAATATGGTAACATATATAATAATATATAATTAGTTATCGAAGCTATTCATAAACGGCAAATGTAGAATGTGAAGAATTTAAACACACAGAAAGTAAACTTTATAATATGAACTTTATATTTTGTGCAGGAATGTGGTGTAAGTAGCAAAAAGTACACTTTCGCACAAGCTAAGGATGCGACAAGTTATATCGGCAGAAGTCTACGGAACATGGGTCTCAAAAAGGGCGATGTGATAGCATTAGTAGCACCCAATTTTCCAGACACAGTTTTAGCTTTGCTTGGAAGCTTATCAGGCGGGCTTATTGTTACTCCTATGAATCCGATGTATACTGCTGGTAAGCTTTAATATTATTCAAAACGTTTCATTTACTTGCGAAAGTGTTTCATATACGTGTCTATATAAATATGTCACTGTTAAGATAAAAGTAGGATAGGGATGTGGGCGAATTAAGCATATTGTTACAATATAGGTAGATCTGATGAAAATTTTCAGAGGAAATGTCGAGGCAGTTGTTGAAAGTTAATGCAAAAGCAGTCATCACTTCGACCATAATTGCACCCACAGCGCTCGCTGCAACGAAGGCATGTCTTCCTCCTAATACGCCTTTTATAGTGATTGATGATAAGACTGGTCCTATTCCAGAGGGTGCGATACCTTTCGATGTTAGTATTAAAATAGATATTTGCACCAACAAACTAAAAATATTTAAATGTTACAAAAAGAATACAACGTTGTTGATTAAAAATAAATATAAGAATGTAAAATTTTTTAGGATCTTATAACACGAGGTAAAACATTACCACCTGTACGTTCTAATAGCTCTTGTAATGATGTAGCAGTTTTACCATTTTCGAGTGGCACGACTGGATTACCCAAGGGTGTTATGCTAACACATCGCAATTTGGTGGCTAATATAATGATGTCACATCTTACTGTTTCCGATTTAACTCGGCCTACTACAAGTATTTATTTTATTTTATTCAATAAACAATTTTAGCTTCTAACTCCTTTTGTTTGCTTCTATCAAGTTTCAAATTAAATTTATGCATTAGCTAGCCTTATTTACAAAATCGCTTATTAAAATTGTATCAAATTATTTAATAACATTTGACATTTATCACATTTCAATTTCTCTTAATTTTTTTTTCCAGGTACATTTCAAGAAGTAATACCTTCAGTATTACCATTTTTTCATATTTATGGAATGAATGGTGTGATACTTCAACGTCTTACTTTCGGTTCAAGAATAATCACTATTCCAAAATTTGTACCCGAGATGTTCCTCAATATATTGGAAAAAAGCAAGGTGATTTATCGATTAATATGCCAAAATAAATTTTTAGATTTTTTGATAAATTTATTAAGTGAAAATTTTGGTTTACTAGAATGGGATATTTAAAATATTATACTCACTAAATACTGAGAGATTTAATGTACTTAGAAGATTAATTTAAAGACAAAAATTATTTTTTGTAGTTTTTATATATTTTATTAATCATAAAAATTATGAAATTTATAATCTTTTTTTACATATGTATAAAAAAAATTATGAAAAACTTAAAACATTAAATTCACGATACTATGGCACTTTACAGGCAACTATTCTATTTTGCGTACCACCTATAGTATTATTTTTATCAACTTCCCCTCTTGTGAAGAAGCATTATTTCGACCATATGCATTTCATGATGAGTGGTGCCGCACCACTTGCCAAAACAGATGTTGACAGATTTTATGAAAAATTCAACATTGACCCGAAAGTTTTCCAGTTTCGTCAAGGTGGGTATGCGCAAAATCGCAGAATTCTCGACCCGCGAGTAAACGAGATGTTTATCGAATTTCACGGATCGAATTTCCAGGGTCGCGTTTCGATGTGCGCGAGCTTTGAAGGCTCGGATATATTTTTTTTTCAGCGGGAGCGGAAATGTCGAGAAAGAAGAGGAAGGCCGAATTTTGCATTTGTGGGCTTTGCGAGCCCGAACGAACGAGCGGGTACACATTCAATTTTTAACGAGATCCGACGAATCGGTTGTACCGATTCTAGAATAAAGTTTGTCGTATCGAGAACGAGAGCGTTATATTAAATTTTACTATTGTTTGAATTGATGTTTTGATGCGCGTTTGAATTCGTAAAATTTGATTCATTGTGTTAGTTTGAAAAAAATTGCATGTATCAACCGACAGGATTTATTTATTTATTCTTTTGTCAAATTCAGTTTTCATCCGAATACAAGCATATGTAACAATTTTTCGGTGAAATCGTTTTTGTTTCAAAGAAGGTTTGACTTGAATTTTGAATTTCGTGTAATATATACATACCGCAATAACGCAATATCGCAAACTTATATTGTTTTTTATATCAGATTGCAATTTTCTCTACTCTATTATTAAATTTACAGTCATATATGTACAGTCATATTTGTAACTATTTTAAAGATTTTATTTATTTTAATAGGGATTTTACATTATAAACATTTATATTTTTTATTTTGTTGATAAAGTCTAAATACAAAAAAGAGAAAGAAATCAGAATATAAAAAATATTTATATTAATATTAAGTTTGATTATTGAAAGTTTTATGATTTTCTTTCAAGGTTACGGATTAACAGAAAGTTCACCAGTGGCATTTATTGAAAAAGGACAGAAATATTCCAGCATTGGAAATAATATAATTGGTTGTCAAGCACGTTTGGTGGATATAACCACACAACAGGATATCAGCATTCCTAATCAAACAGGTGAATTATGGATCAAGGGACCTCACATTATGAAAGGATATCTAAATGATGAAACCGCCACGAAAAATACCTTAACCGAGAATGGATGGTTGAAAACGGGCGATATTGCTTACTTTGATGAAGATTTGGACTTTTATATTACAGATAGATTAAAAGAGCTTATCAAAGTTAAAGGATTCCAGGTAATAATTTTTTCTAATAGAAAACATTTTTCTTTTTATTTTATTACTCATTCTTATATAATTATATAGTATTGTACCATAGTAATTAACTTTTATTATTAATCATAAATTAATTATTATTAAAACATTATTTTATATTTTAAAAATAATTAAATTATTTAACATAATTATATGTTGCAGTAATTAGCAAAATTATTTATCTCTGATAAGTGAAAAGAAAATCTGATCGAGAAATTTTGGAACATATTAAAATTCTTTTATTTTTTTTTCTCTTGTTATTGATAAGAAGTTTTATTATGATAAAAAGAGAATTTTGATTTTGTCATCGTTGGACTTTATAATTATTCATGTAGTTTGAGAAAATGGATAATAAATAACAGTTACAATGTATCTAAAATGTCGTCGCAAAATTTTGAAGTTCTGCGATTTGATGACATCTTCGGTGGCGTTTAAAGTGTTTGCCTCCTTTAATTTAAAACATTATTTTCGGCTGATCGAAGGTACCACCGGCGGAATTGGAAGCGCTGTTGCGGACGCATCCAGATGTGGAGGAAGCGGCAGTGATTGGTATTCGGCATGCAAGGTATGGCGAGGTACCGAAAGCATTTGTGGTGACAAGTAAGGGTAAGAAACCTACGGAAGACGACATTAAGAACTTTGTAAAAGAAAAAGTCTCCGACTACAAACAACTGGAAGGTATAACTCGATTCTGTTTAATTATTACTGGTCTTACCCTTAATCAGTTTAATTAACATCGATAGGATTGTAGTCTTTAAAACAATTATTAATCGAATATTTAAGGGAGAATATTGCGAATGTTTCGAAAAAAATCTAATTATGACGTTATCTAATTAAGTTAAAAAAATTCAGAAATAAAAATAAGCAACTATAAATGTTATGGAGAAAATTCCAGACTTATATGTTATATATTATATGTTATATATGTCTTTTTTTCAGGTGGAGTTACATTTGTTAATGAGATTCCGAAGAATGCAAGTGGAAAAATTATGAGATCAAAGTTGAAGCAAGATTATAAGTCCTAACATAATTAAAATGGTATCTTTGATAATATAACTATTTTCAGAATAAGATCATTCAAAGTTTTATATGTGTATAAATGAATGAGGGTAAAATGTAATTTTCCAGATGTATATTATTTTATATACAATGCTTTTATCAACAAATTTCGATATAAATATCTTTGATATAAATATGTAAATATCATGCAGTAAGAAGTTTTTCTACAAAAAAAAAAAATTGTCTAGCTGAAATGTATTTACAAAATGAATAGTAATAATTAGAAATGATCAAACAATTTTAATTGTCCTAGTTTATTGGTATATAAAATATTATATTACAATTAGAATTGTTTGATAAAATAATCTTAATGATTTAAGATCTCTTCTATTTTTCATAAAACTTC